GAATGAAAAAGAAATTCTTCGTTTTTCATGGAATGAAAAAAAAAGAAATTCTTCGTTTTTCATGGAATGAAAAAGAAATTCTTCGTTTTTCATGGAATGAAAAAGAAATTCTTCGTTTTTCATGGAATGAAAAAGAAATTCTTCGTTTTTCATGGAATGAAAAACAAATTATTCGTTTCATGGGAAAAAAAAAATTCGTTTCATAGAATGGAAAATAAATTAATCTTTTCATGAAATGGAAAAAATTCTTTTCGTATGATATAAAAGAAATTCTTCGTTTCATAGAATGAGAAAGAAATTCTTCATTCAATAAATTGAAAAAATATTTGTGTGAAACAGAAAAGAACACTTTGTTTGCTTTTTTCTTTGTTTCACGGAAAGATAAAAAAAAATTGTTTGTTTCATAGAAAAAAAGAATATACTTTGTGTCATAGAAAGAAATGATACACTATATTTCATAAAATCCTCCTTTATACATTATTTCATACATTCATTTTCTTCATGGAATGAAAAAAAAACGCTTTGTTATATTAAAAGAAAAGATACACTTTGTTTTACGAAGTGCTTTCTTTAAAGAAAATAAACCTTTCTTGGGATATTTAATCAAAACTTTGGAACTTTTATCTGATAACATAGTAAGCGACGCGTTTGCTGTCGAAATGATCACGATAAATCAATCAGAAAAGGAGTTGAGTTCAAAGAATGTAAGACGGGGTGGATTTCCCAGATGTTATCCCCGAGGACGTTCATTCCAAATCTCGATGATACTAGTGACAGATGTAATGAAAATTGTGGATTCGTTGTAAAATGGTCAACAAGGTTCATAGACTAAAGTTAAGAAGTGAAATTTCTGGTGTTAAATGAAAATTGACAAATGGTGGTCATGCTATGCATTGTGATCTAGAAAATATCACATCAAGCTCAGGAAGTGTCTGTAGAACAATTGAATAACATCAACCTCCTGTTCAACAATAAGGATCTTAGTGTAACATTCTAACAATTCCTGATGTATTAAGCAGGAACAGAAGAAGGATGACTCTAAGGAGATTTTCAAAGTATGTAGTTACTGTTTAACTACTGCTTAAACATTACGAACAGTATGAAATGAGGGCTTGATAACAAAAAGTAAAACCTTTCAGTAGTAGGATCTGGATTTAACTATGGCCTCCGCATCTTAAATGTTACATCGGGTAAAGGATACTTAATTGTAACACTTTACAAGATAATTTACTGTTTTAATTCTCAATAGTTTAATCCCTTATCGTGAAAATTCTATTTAATTAAAATTAAAGAATTTGTTCGTTATTTAACAAATAGTATAATTTATTCTGTTTAATTTTAATTACTTAATTTAATCTCCTACTAACATTTAATTGGACAGAAGCTCCAGTAAAATGTTTTTAACCTTTAAATTTAATGAGGCGGTTGATTCATTCAAAAAAACTGCATATGTGCACTGAAACTACTACCTTCGGTGGCGTTAATATTTAACTATGTAATGAATCGTAGTCTTGAAATGTAACTCATTCATAAATCTACTCACAGTATATTTTATAGTTTAAAACTTATAGATATGTATTTTTGTAAAATTACAAATACACAAAATTGTTTAAATTATCTTAATAAAAAATAAATTAATTTAAATATAAATATTAAAAGATCCCTACAAATTACCTTCTATGAAATCGTCCACTACTAACTAACTCTCACACACACAAAAATGATACAATTATATATATATATATATTGTAGCATTTTTTTTTCTCTGAAAAGTTTTGGTATTCCATTCCCATGAGAGTGTAATGTATGCTATTTGATAAGTATATAATAACAACACATCACTCAAATCTGATAGCACATATTCGGTATCATGAGATTCAGGAAATTAGCGATCTTCATAGGTCGAAACAACTGCAGATTGAATATGAGCTATACCATGAGTTGTTCCATCGTGATGGGCGGTAGACCACAAGTCAAGAAATGTCTACTCCCTTGAGAAGTGAAGGAAGTTTATTTCCCCTCTTGACGTATTTTCTTAAAAGGTTATTTTTGGTGAAGAAGACAGAGTTATGTGACGAATCGATCATAAATGCTGTTTTTCTTTTTTTACTCTAAAGTGACGGAATATTCTGGAGATTCCGCTTGTTTCCAAAGTGAACTCCTTGTGGTTTTGTGTATCGCGGCGTGTGATAATTAAGATCTGCCTCAAGTCTACGTCAAATCCAATTGCCTGGTGCAGACCAGGCAATTGGATTTGACGTAGACTCGAGAATTATAAAAATCATCGACCTTGGAGTGAACTGCAGTTTTTGACCAAATTTTTTATTTTAATTTCAATATCTTGTATAATACACCAGAGATAATTATTTGTATATATATATATATAGTGCTTGTGTTCACATGTACTCTATTCTTGAAGCCGTTATAGGTCTAATATAGCTGAGACGTTACAAAGCTATATATGTATATGTTTAATAAACTATAGATGCTATATAGCATCATAAAGTAATATTACAAATACGTTATATCATTAACACATAAATGCCTGTCACATAAATTTAAGAGCAGTTTTATACGCATTAATTTTTAGCATCATATATTTTTTACCCAGTTTTAGTTTAATTAACGTCTTTTTAATGACACAAAAAAAGAGTCTGCACACATTTCAAAATTGTCATAATCGTTTTCGATTACGGGTGATAGCTTCCTGATCTAATTAATCGATGTCGATAATGTTTACGAAAAAGGAACTTATCGCAAACATCGATAGCCTTAATTTGGGAAGCGTTTTCATGGAATTTCCATTAAATGTACTTCGGATCGAAGCTAATCAGTTGAGGCAATTAATCAGTTTTGAGTTAAATTAAAGCGAAGGTAATGAATCTAGAAGGTGATAAGTAGCAGCATGGCATCGATTTATTCAAAAACGAATTCAACCGAGTAATGGAATTTGAAGTATATAATAAATCGTTTAATATGACACTTTAATAAGTTATTTTCCAATTAATAAATGAAAGATTTAAGATTTATTGTAATAAAAATTGTAAACAAGTAATATAAAAAACAAATTTTTAAAGTCAATTCCTATTTTTTTCTCATATATGCAGAAAGTCCTTTATAAATAATTTTCATTCATTTTTTAAAGTTTATCTGACGTCATCTATTGGTATATATATATATGTAACTTAAATCTAAAAAAACTAAAAAATTAATTAAATTTAATTAATGAATTAATATTTGAAAAACCTGTATTAACATCAAGTATCATCCACTGCAAGTTCAAAAAAAAAAAATGTATTTGAACTTGAGTGGATGAATAAAAAACACCTTATTAACGATCGAAAATTTGAACAAGATATATATAAGGAGAGTGTGAGCTAATAGAAGGAATTGAAAAAAGCTTGAATTTTATTAAATATTCTTTGTTTTTATAATGGTTTGGTTTAGTTTGTTGCTCTACGTTCATTTTGTGCACACTTTAGGCTAATTAGACCGGAATCTACAGTTTAACGTGGATTCCAAACCACTAACAAAACATCCATACCACCTCCGGATTCGAACCTGAAGTTTGTGACACCAAAGGCATGAGCGCAAGCCAATTGGATATCAGGCCGCTATTTGTATAATGAGACTGGCGAAATAGAACGTTGAGTTTCCGAACAAAGCGAACATGGTTCGAGATTAGACAAGTAATAAAGAACAGAAAATTTATTGTGTCTTTGCCACGAAAGATCTATAGGCCGGCAATCAATCAGAAACCTCTGTTTTTGACATATCTGATATACGTCCCTCAAATGCCGTCTTTGCAGTGTTCTTTCCAAATGTTAGTGGCAAAATACAGGTTTAATAAAAGCATAAAACTGTATAGCCTGAGTAAAGCTGAATCAGATACATATCTGCCATTGTAGTGGTACATAAAAAGGGTACATATTTAACTATGTAATAAATCGTAGTCTTGAAATGTAACTGATTTAAAAATCATCATATATTTATTATTTATTTATATATCATCATATCATTTATATATCATCTCATTTATAAATGCATAGTATGTATATAGTATATTTATTTCATAAATTTTAGCTTTAATAAGAAACACTTGGTTAAATGGGAAGTTTTAGAAAACAACACATTGTAAAATTCAGAATTAGAGATTTTTTTTTTTTTTTTTATAAAATTGAATTGCTTTCGTTTTTCGACTGAAATAAAAAATGAGATATTATACCATTGGGTGCTAATTGATTTGTTATTTTTAATATATATATTGAATTTTGGTTAAATATTTTTGCACACCAGTTTAATAGTCATATTATTACTAAAATAATAATAAAAAATTCATTAACGGAATTTAAAATTTTAATATTAAATTAATAATTATAAAGCTAAAAAAGTGCAATAAAATATAAGTTAAGCGATTATTAAATTATCTATTCCGATTCAAACCTCACGAAATTTAAAAGATGAAACGGTCTTAATTGGAATGAGAGGATAGCTCTTAAAAAATAATATAGATAATGGAGTTTGAGTCTCTGAAGTGAAAGTTTCCGGCAAATTTCGAAACAGGATATGTTTTCTTTTTACGGGGTAGAATTGTCAGCCCTACCCGCAAAGATCAACAGTCCTATTTTACCAGGACCTACAGTTTATAGTGGATTCTGAACCTCTGCAAACATCCATGGCACCGCCGGAACTCGAACACGAAGCCTGTGGCACTGAGCGCCAGAGCGTTAGTGGCCATCACTTACTCGGCCATCAGACCTTTACTTGAAATTACGATCTGGAAATTCCTACAGTTTATGTTTGAGACAGAGGCCTAAGCCTAGTAGGCGTTCATTCCATCTTACAGTGTCAAAGTGTATATAGAATGTAGGGTTCTACTAGATTGAATAGAAGAGTCGAATATATGTGCCTGATTAATTTATTTTCATGGTTCTTGATTATTTAAAAACACCTTTCTATTGATTCTATTTGATAGTCATAGTATAGCGTAAAGTTAAGCCAACGGCCATACCATGCTGAATATATTCTCGTTAGATCACCGAAGTCAAGCATCATCGAGCGCGGTCAGTACTTGGGTGGGTGGCCACTTGGGAACACCGCGTGCCGTTGGCATTCATTTGGGACCTAAATGGCCGAGTGTCTAGCGCTCTGGCGCTCGGTGCCACAGGTTTCGGGTTCGAATCCCGGCGGTGCCATGGAGGTTTGTAGTGGTTCGAATAACTTAAGAGCGTCACGGAGCCAAAGTCAGACTTCTACCTACGGGTGCTCCATCACAACAGAAGCTGCTTCCTTCCCCTTCAATCATGAGCACGTATGGGCTCGTGGGCTGGGATAAGAAACAACAACAACATAGCATAATGTTGCATTTGCTAAACAACTTCCTTTATACTTTCGCACTATTGAGAAAAAAAAGGGCTTGACAATCGAAAAAAATGTAAAAAAATATCATAAATAATATAAAAAAAAATATATGTATCAATAAAACTTATATATCATATTTAAAAATATATGTGACGTAAAATTTAAATTTTTTTAGGATAGTAACTCTAGAAGTACATTTTGACTGATTATCACATAGAAATATCATCAAATGAGTTCAAATATTCTCGGTTTAAATCTTAATAGTAAAATCCTATTTTACATAGATTATATAAAAAAATATTATACTATATTAATATAGTTGAATACGTGCGTGAATCTTTAATGTAATAAAATTTATGTCTAATAACCTAAAAATTATAATTAATCCAGTTAATTTTTCAATCGAAATTGGGTGATTGCTTTAGAAATTTGTCCAATAACCTTAAAAACCACAATAAATTCAGTTAATTTTTTAATTAAAATTGGGTGAAAGAAAGAAATTTGAATTACTTTAGAAATTTGACCAATAACCTAAAAATTACTATTAATTCAGTTCCTTTTTTAATTAAAATTGGATGAAAGAAAGAAATTTGAATTACTTTAGAAATTTGACAAATAACCTAAAAATTACTATTAATTCAGTTCATTTTTTAATCAAAATTGGATGAAAGAAAGAAATTTGAATTACTTTTTACAAACAAAAATACTACTAATTCAGTTCATTTTTTAATTAAAATTGGATAAAAAGAAAACGAAATTTGAATTACTTTAGAAATTTGACAAATAACAAAAATTACTATTAATTCAGTTCATTTTTTAATTAAAATTGGAAAAGAAAGAAATTTGAATTACTTTAGAAAGTTGACAATTTTAAAAATTACTATTAATTCAGTTCATTTTTTAATTAAAATTGGATGAAAGAAAGAAATTTGAATTACTTTAGAAATTTGACAAATAACCTAAAAATTACTTTAATTCAGTTCATTTTTTAATTAAAATTGGATGAAAGAAAGAAATTTGAATTACTTTAGAAATTTGACAAATAACCTAAAAATTACTATTAATTCAGTTCATTTTTAATTAAAATTGGATGAAAAAAGAAATTTGAATTACTTTAAAATTTGACTAATAACCTAAAAATTACTATTAATTCAGTTAATTTTTAATTAAAATTTTGAAAAAAGAAATTTGAATTACTTTAGAAATTTGACCAATAATCTAAAAATTACTATTAATTCAAAAATTTTTTTATCAAAATATTGGGCAATTGCAAGAAACTCAATTCCATTTTTACAAACATACCTATGCTAACCTTTATATAGAAAACTGGATAATTCATTAGGATATTCTCAGAGCTGTAGTGCTGCAAATAATAAAATAAAAAATTTAATAAGGAAGTTGAAATTTTAATCAAAGTCAGCATGCTGGTTTACGATCTTGCACCGGTAATGATTTCTGGGAAATAATTTTCTTTCTTAAAGCAACAGATTGGAAGTAATTAAAATCCCGTTGTATATCCGGAATGATAACTTATTAAATTATCTCCTGTTTATGCTCCTGAACTAAAATTTCATTAATAACAAACATATTTTATTATTAAAACTATGATAAGGAAATAATTATATATATATATATATTTGTATTAAAATATTTTAATTAAAAATTTTTGAAATACGAATCATCATAATTTTTACCTTTTCATATTTTTAATATCAGTTTCCTTAATGCATTATTAATGATATTACTTTTTTTTATTTAAATAGGGCTTTTTACTTATCTACCGATCAGACCAAATTAGAAAGATCAATTTATCGATAACAAACTAGATTAAAACGAAAATGAAAACTGGATAACACACTGAAAAAGCTGTTTTTGAAACAATAGCTTTAATTAAAATTTAAGGAGGAATTAAAGTTTAATTAAAGTTAAATTTATTACAAATTGTGGTTTTATTTATTTTTTTATTAAATTTCAATAAAGAACAAAAAAGCGACCCACTAGTACGATATCAGAGTATTACTCAAAATCGATATCAGATGCATAAATATAAGAAAATATTTTCTCAAAGTTGATATCAAAGATGTATCGATAACAGAAAGTATTCACTCAAAATCGATATCAAAACCGTTAACAAAAGAGTATTTACACAAAATCGATATCAAATTTATCTATATCAGAAAAGCGATATCAGAAAATCGACATCAAAAGCGATATTAGATGTATCGATATCAGAAAATCGACATCAAAAGCGATATTAGATGTATCGATATCAGAAAATCGACATCAAAAGCGATATTAGATGTATCGATATCAGAAAATCGACATCAAAAGCGATATTAGATGTATCGATATAAGAAAATCGACATCAAAAGCGATATTAGATGTATCGATATAAGAAAATCGACATCAAAAGCGTTATCAGATGTATCGATATAAGAAAATCGACATCAAAAGCGATATCAGATGTATCGATATAAGAAAATCGACATCAAAAGCGATATCAGATGTATCGATATAAGAAAATCGACATCAAAAGCGATATCAGATGTATCGATATGAGCAAATCGATATCAAAAGCTATATCAGATGTATCGATATCAGCAAATCGATATCAAAACCGATATCAGAAAGTATTCCCTGAAAATCGATAACAGATGGATGATTCAAATAAAAGATTCGCAACCAGATAGCTATAAAGAATGTATAAATTATTAATATTTAGCGTGAAATATAAATAATTGGTTATATTTCTTCAAAGACATTTAAAAAAAAAAATCTTAATTATTCAAATTACGAAGATAAATTACGTATAGTAAAACAATTCCAATTAGTGCTGAGCCTTTTATTATATGAGGGAATTATTACCGCTCTTCTGGCATCAACGAACACAAAACTACAATTATAATTATTTCTGAGAAAATTATCCACTTGTCAGGTTGCATTTTAGAAACCAACAATCAAAACACAGATTAACTGTAACCTTATTTCCATAATCTATTTAATTATACAAAACAAGCAATTTAGATCAGATTAATCAACAAATCATCTCAACTTTCCCTGGTAGTTTAACATGATAAAGTGTGTAATTAAAAAAGACCTGTTAATTAAAATAGATGCTTGCAGGAAGAAATTGGGATATGAATATTTATACAGAAACTATGCGGTCGTAAATTCCAAGTCATTACAGAAACTTGCCTGGTAATAAAAGAATTCTTTTCTAGAAAGCGAGTTTTATTGCGGTTGATCTCATATTTTATTATCTTATCGAAGGGAGAATATTATATGATCAAAAAAAAATTCTCAGTAATAAATCTACTTTCAGTCATTCTGTTCTTGGTTATTTGGGTAAGCAAAGATTGTCAATATATAATGATAAAAAAATTTTTGATTTGATTTAGACTTAATATATAACAATACACATTGCTGTAGACTAACTATAAATTTAACTTCTATAAAAGCATTAGGTTAATAAACATTAAATTTTAAGTAAATGTTAGGTTAGGTGCAGGTTCAATATATAAATATGTTCATTGAGGTAATGATTGCTATTCTAAGAAAAAATTCTAATTTTGAATTTAAGTAGATACTATTCTAAATTTGAAATATTTGTAATTTATATATTTTTTTCACGAAAAAAAAATTATTCTAAACATGATAATTTAATGATAACTTAGTTAATATTTTAGGATATTTTCATTAAATGTTGAAAAAAAAAATTCGGATCAAAATGAAACACAGACCATCATCTTAAAATCAACATTACTAGAGATCAGAAGAAGCAGTCAGTAAGTAAGTAGAATCTCAACAAATACAAATTTTAATTGCTGCTGTCAGATTTCTATGAACCAATATAATAAAAATTCACTAAGAAACTAACGTATTAATAAAAAACGTTTAAAATATGAAATATACCAAATTCCTCATTTGGTCCATTTGATCAATTATTGAGTTTAAAATTAAAAATCTCCATAAATGTTATTGTAACACAGAAAATTATGTGCCAAAATAAAACAAACCAATATCTTACGATCTTTGAGTCATCTCATTGACAGAGATCAGAAGAAGCAGTCAGTAAGAAGAATCCCAAAAATACAAATCTTAATTGCTGCTGTTGGATTTCTCCATAAACCAACATAGTGAAAAATCACTAAGAAACTATCGCGTATTTTATTGAAAACACACAACTGAATTTGAAATTAAAAATCTTCATAAATATTATTGTAATGAAAAAAAATTCTGCACCAAAATGGAACACAGACAAACATCTTACGATCTTTAAGTCATCTCATTGATAGAGATCAGCAGAAGCAGTCAGTAAGAAGAATTCTAATAAAAAAAATTGTAGAAAACAAAACTTATATTGCTCAATGACACATTATTGCATTTAAAATTAAAAATCTCCATAAATGATAATCAAATACAAAAAATTATGCACCAAAATGGAACACAGACCAACATCTTATGATCTTTAAGTAATTACATTGATAAAGATCAAAAGAAACAATCAGTAAAAAGAATTCCATCAAATACCAATTTTAATTGCTTCTGTCAGACTTCTACATGAACCACTATAATGACATATCACAAAGAAACTATAGAAATATACCAATTTCAATGTCACCAATTTTTTGTCAATGATACATTATTGCATTTAAAATTTAAAAACTCCATAAAAGTTATTGTAACACAGAAAATTATGTACCAAAATAAAACAGAGACCAGCATCTTACAATCTTTAAGTCATCTC